AACTATGTAAATATGATTTTTCCTTTAATATATTATTCATATAATATATTAATAAACCATAATGAACTCTTTCTCTATTATTTCTCCAGTCAAGTTGCTTTGGAGAAGGCAACCCAAAAGGACCATGCACAACCGGGTCAAGTACTTACCAAATATGATTACGAGCTTAGACACTAATCCAACAGTCTCCCACTTGGATAAGTCTAGTAACCATAAATGAAAGTACAATCTGATTAGCAATCGTAGCTCTTAAAGATGATGTTGAACTCTGATCTTATCAGTAAACTATCCTTTAGATAAGGGGTCATATATTCCTCCATTCTAGATATCGTATAGACATGAGACATGGATTGAAATCATTCTCCCAGTCGATGTGTTGTTTCCCGATTTCCAATTTATGACGACTGACTAATTGAACAAATCAAATTAGCCCTAGCCCGACCGAGCATTTACGTTTGTCATCACTAAATCATCGAGAGGCCCACATATATCTCTTTAATCCTACTTTGGGTAAAAGGAACGGATAAACTTTGACTTAATGCTCTCTTGCACTCACTCTCCAAATCACACACAATAATATGTTATATAACACCAAGTTACTGGTGCGTTTACATATTATCAATGTGTAACCGACTCGCAAGATACAACTCACACATCTCCGTTTCAAGAATATAAGATATTATCATCTCACCAATCGCTCGTGATAAAATCCATGAAGCGATCCAAGTGAGCGTGGGTTTAATCCAATGCTCAAATCATATTCTTAAGCACTCATGAATGTTGCAGCAAAACTTTTCCATGTTTAATACACTTTAAACAATCTACACACCAATTCATGACAATCTTCTTTCATACCTACTCCCAAAGTATGACCGACTGTGGAACCTTCGAATAATTTGATTATTCTGAAATAATTTAATTATTCAGGAAGTCAAAACATGAAAAGTGAAACATAAAGAAATACTAATCCTATATGGCCCAAACTTTTGAGTATAAATAAAACATCTTTTATTTATCACCATATTGATTACTCATTATTTTTTGTTTCGGGTAATCAACTTATTACTTGAATTATAACTACAGTTGTCCCATGCTCTTAGCATGCACACTATGTTTACCTATGCTCCTTGCTATGTGAAATAGATTAATTGAACACATTTTCAATCATACTCATTTCACAACTCCCAATCCTTACCACAAGTGTAAGAATAGCAAATTCTCGCTACTTATAGAATATGCTAGATTCTAACATTCTATGCAACGATCCTTTCGTAATGTCATAGCGCCAAGGTCACAAAGACTTTGCGAATGAAATTACAAAGTCCTCTATTGGAAATTGTTGCAAGACAATTCCATAGATACGAAGTCTCATATTCAAAGTACATTCCTTTGCACATCCTTTTTGCATACAAGTTACTAATCTAGACATATAGATTCTTAACGTCCAACTCCCAATATGGAAACATTTCTATATTTTCCATATGACAACTCATTATTAATAGAATCATATCTAATAAAAATAATGTCAATATGGTCCATCCAATACTATACTTCCAACTACTCACAAGGAATCAATCATTGGTGAACCTTAGATTGTCCTTTGATAGGTGTTTAATAAACTTAGTCATGTTCGGTTCTAGTCCTTTTTCCCTCTTAATGCCCTAGGAATTTGTAAAATTTTAGAACGGTCAATTATCACAGCATATGCGATCGATCCTATACTTGAAGCGTATGGAACACGAAGCATAGTGTCTTACATAAAAATGTGATACTTTACCAGTCTTTTTCCATAATATTTTTATTTTCCATGTTCTCAAAACTCGATTTAAGAAAAGGGATGTCGTAATCATAATCGAATTTTGAGAATGCAATTCATATGTTTGACTAAATTTGATTAAAATTTCTCCATCTAAGCTCTTAGATTTCGAAACGAAGTATAAAAAACTCTCTCCCTTAATTTATAGCAAAACAATCTTTCAACCCTTACAACTTGGCAAAGTGAAACTCTTGTTTTCTATAATTAATATTGCTAACTTGAAACCTACCATAATTATCATGCTCCCACTAACATGATGATTATATCCATACCAGCATAACACTTATGCTCCCACTAGCTTTGACATGTATTCAGAAAACAATTGACCTTGTAGAAAAACAATGCTTATTGAATTTCTTAAGTTTATAACAATAAGTATAAAAATGTTCAGATCCATTTGCCATTTCCCACAATTGGAACTATGAAGAGGGATGATGTAATCATAGTTGAATCTGAGAAATCCAAATTATACAATGCGATCTTCAAAATCTTTCTTAGTGAAAGTGTTTCCTCACAATCATTTTCATGAAGGAGAGAAACCTTATGACACTTAGATTTTATTGTATATGTGCTCTTATCCAGGTGAATATGTCATAACCATAATCACTTGATAATGTTAGTGACAAATCCAAACTCTGATGGACAAAACTTGTTCTTCTTAATTTCTTGCCATTAAGGGTCCCACCATTGCTTCCAAGTTATTGAGCAGCTCACCCCTACAATTCAATGTACATTCCATTGATCAAGGTGCCTTTCCCCTATGCAATCTATTGAGAACTCATAGAACTCACATGCATAGTTGACTAAACTGGAATGGCACAAAAACAAGTATATGTCAACACGATAGGTTATGAACCTCAAGTCATGTGCTAGTGATTATTGATTAGGTTTATTGTTGATTATTTCTTGAAAACTTTTCAAGATCATTTAGATTCCCACTGACCTCTTGGCATATATGAATCTCTTGTCAAGAATCATTCCTTGACAAAACAAATATTTAGGAGTTAGCGCGAAATTCTATCAAGAGTAACACTCAACTTAATTTCTTATAATTGGTCTTTGTCTTTTTCAAGACATTACAACTAACAAATTCCAAGAATCTCTTCCACTTAATATTGCTTATAATAGAAAAACATAGGCATCAATTCTCATAATTGCCATCGCAAGGAAATATAAATAAGACAAAATCAAAATTTATTTTATTGCGGAAAAATATATCCTTAAAACGCAAATGAAAACTATGCTATTACATATCCCTAAGCAATCTATCATAACTCTAAGCAGTAGCATAAAATCCAATCATCGAATCCATGCGATCGTAATCCATTTCTTCGCGATCAGACTGAGCTCACTACAAGAAAAAGACCCTTTTACGACGCGCAAACCAAGACACTCATTGATTTCTGTTACGCAAAAGAGCATGACATTAAAAAAGTGTCATCTCTTCAAAAAACTTAAGGATTTATGTCACGCATTATTGTGTACCCTTAAATTAGTGTCTCTAGAAAAGAAATTAAAACACGGAGGGCACTTTATTTTAAATGCGCGTCCTCTATACATGTCGCCTTATAATTTTAATGAAATGCGCGTTTAGTAGAGGGGGAAACGAAATCCCCAAAATTTTGAAAACCCGCCTTCTACCTTCTTTCTATCTTTCATCTTCGCAGTCTACTCTTCCCTATCCCTCCTTCTCTCTTCTCTCCGATCCGCTTCTCCGCCACTCCTTAATACCTTGCAGGAATCTAAAAACTAGAAAACCTCATCCTCACAAAGTCTAGGAAGCTAGGGTTTTATTTAATCCCTCAAAGAATGACCCACATCCTCCATAGATCGATCTCTATCGCTTCATTTCTCACAAGATATCGAACACTTTACATTCATAAGGCCACAAAATTGAATATTGCTTGAACTAGGGTTTTGAGTTTGTATCACATAACCCTCCCGCAATTCGTTCTCCCTATTGAATCGATTCCCTGGTTTTGATCGACTCCTGCACACGCCAATCATCAACCATCGCTGCATAATGCCTCATTCCCAGGATTTCAATGTGTGGTACCTCGATGTCATTTCCCAGGCTAAGCTTACTGATTACGACCCTGTTCGTGGTACCATGGTTATTTGACCATACGATTATGCCATTTAGGAAGCTATTCAGGTAGGTCTTTTGTTTGTTTTGAGACAATCTTGTTTAGGTCTAGCCTTTCGCTTTTGATTTTTTTTACCTTCTTCCAAATTTAACCTAGATTTTCTCAAAGCCATCTACGAATCTCCTTTTGGGCTTTCTTTATTAGCATGTTTCGAGTTTCAACTACAGTCAACTATTTGGTTGTATTCCAAATTTTATATGCCACATCAGTCTCAAAACCATTTGTTCTTATCCCACTCCCAGATGTATGATTTCTTGAGGACATTTGATGTGGGGGTGTTAAAAGAAGAAGGTCGCAGCTGCTTGATGTCATGATCGTATGCTTTTCTATTTTTTTAGTGGTTTCCCATGGACAAATCTTCACGCTCTCTTTTCAATCTCTCATTCACGCTCTCTTTATATGCCACATTTGTGTTTGTGTTGTTTGGTGAATGATATTGCTTCATTGAATCCTGATGCTGTTGGTGTTGGTGTGCAACCGATTTCTTAAAAGTAATAGGTGGTGCACTCTCTGTAGCCAAAAAAGGCTCTTGATAATTGGGACATAGGAGTGTTTGATTCAGGTATATTTTTAGGTATTCATATTGCATCTTTCATCCATGGCAAAGAGTCCAAAAATTAGTGGTGGAGCTGTGGGACTTTTGTAATTGAATTTTCTTCCATTCATGGTCACATACTTAGGTCAGAAGTGGGTGTTGTAGTAGATTAGCAGTAGCAATCCGACTTTATGGTATCAACTACTCCTATTTTTCAATTTCCCTTTTTTATTCACTTTGATGCTTTTATTTTAGGCTTTATTTGTTTATAATATAAACAACATACGATTTATGTTTTATTTATGGGTGCAGTTTGCTTCCGGTGAAACCATGAGGAAATGCTTGAGCTCTATATGTTTTCTTGGAACCTAACTTTTATCATTTCCATTATTTACATCAAACCAAGATTAATAATTTATTCTTGGGTACTACTTTATGATATTCACTTATCAGGTTGAAGAGAAGGGGTATGGAGTTCAAAACCAATTGAACTACTCACATCATGGATCTTAGCATGTGGTTACCTACATGTCAACCTCCTCATGCCTTGGTTACTTTTGGTTTTGGTGGGAAGTTGATTGTGATGAAGGATACAAATGGTTCCACATACCCATTGAAAATCAGGAGTGATAGTGAGTTCCACCCTCAAGATGGTGTCATTAAAATGTCCAAGACTGGACCCGGCACCCGCACCAATAAAACCAAGAAACAAAGAGTTCCTGTAAGTGTCTCCTCTTTTAGATTTCTCCTAAATTTGCTATTTTGTGATTCTAATCTGATTTGATGCATAATAAGTATCATCATTTTACTAACAATGATGTTGAAGATAAATCTATGAAGTTACACTGCTATATGGACACAAGATCCTCCCTTAGACAGGTGTTTGTCATGTCATAAAACTCATAACATATTAACATAGCATATTTTGTTAGTCATGAAAGACATGATTTTGTCAATGATGATTGACCCTTTTTTTTTATAATTATAAATTATCAGGGTGTTCTTTCTCAGATGAGATCTAGCTTTCAGGGTAACCAATTCCCTCTAGCAGTTGAAGCTGCTAGAAAAGCTCTTATTCGCAGTAGAAACTTCATGCGGAATCAACCAATGACTTCATATAGACCAAGGCAAGTTGTTTTTTTCTTTAATAACAAGTTGTATTTCATCTCTTATTGTTGCAATAATATGATTATAAATGTTGTTAATTTGGTTTGATGTGTAGGTGGGCTGGTGTACAAAATAGGGGTGCTACAAATGGAGACTTTGCTGTTAAGGTATAACTAAATATTAAAAAAAAGTTGGTAATATAATTAGCCAAGGTATTGAGAGAGTAGTTTGTTTGTTTGTGATATTTATTTATATGCAGCAGCTATTGAACTACTCACATCCTGTCTTCCCATTGAAAATCAGGAGAGATACTGAGTTCCACCCTCAAGATGTTGCGGGTGATTGGTTGAACATGTGCTGCAACATTAAGCTTTGGGAATTGGTGAATGCACTTATGAAGATTTCACCCCAATTTGGGGGCTCGAACAAGCTCTCCCAGCTCCTGTGATGACAGATCATAATATCTTTCCCATGCCAGATCCTTCTTCTCCAGTTTCATCAGAATGTCATTTTTAATCCCATAAAATTGGCATAGTGGGGTTTGCACACTCCAAATCCTCTTGTTTATCATTTTTTACAAGTTCAAGGCTTTCTCTGCTAACTGGGCCCATCCTTTTTCAAATCTAGCACCTGATGCTTTCCAGCCACTCCAATCACCTTTTCATAACAAATATCATTCATCAACTGAAATCTCTGCAATGGCTTCTTTACTGTAATTCCAATATATTGTTGAGCAAGTGGGCAAGGTCTGTAACTATTGTCAAAATGAAACAGGCCTTTCTTTAAGTCAACTCGCATAAATAACGCAACATCATCATAATTGGGAAGCATTGCAGATAGCCCAACCAACCGAATATGTTCCTTTGTGGTCTCAATTTGTCTAACAGTTCTTGCCACAATACTCCCGAGAATAGGTCCTCTGTTATCTTGCAGAAGATGAATTTCATCAATAATTATAGCTTTCTTTCTCAAAAATATATAATTTTAAAAAATATATATTTTGAGAAAGAAAGCTATTTTGAGGGGATTTAGGGTTTGGATTTTGTTGATTTTTTTCCGTTGGATCAGATATGGAGAGAATGCAGAAGAAGCTGCTGCATCGGCTGATTGGAAATTCCCTAGATGTAGAGGAATCTGTAATTGCATTTTTTGCATGTAAGTGTTGTTGTCGATCTTATCTCCGTTTTCAACTTCTAATTCCCCTAAAAAAAGTTTCAAATTTGACTTTACCAGATTTGGTACTTTTCAAGTTACTTTTCAAACAAACAAGTATCACGGATAACATATTATTTGTATTATTTTGGCAACAACGTTCATTCCAATTTTGCAATCAACAAGTACCCTTTTAACCTTACACGTCAAAGGTAAAACTTTCATCTTTTTATTAATTTCAGTTTGCCTAAAGTCCAAATAACAAACAAGGGTATTTGTGTAATTTAACAGAAAGGACACCCCGGATGTAGCGGTTACTAGACCATTTGCATCTGCAAAGAAAGACACTTCTCAATATGGCGATTATGGAGCTTTTGCTAACTGCTTGCAACAGTTGCCACCAGAAGGACAAATTTGTGTATTCACCTTATTTCATTTATTCACATAATATTAAAAAAACATCTTTTTTTTTATTGATTTATCTTTATTTTCTTAGGCAACTACTGCTGAAGTCCAAACTCTGCTAGTTTATAAGGGATTGACTTAGTTCTTGCAACACAACTTGGTGATCAGGTTTCTCTCTCTCTCTCTCTCTCTCTCTCTCACACACACACACACACACACACATTCTGAAAAATCTACTCGATTATAGAATTTTTTCTATTATATTTTGATTCCTACCTTCTCTTTGATTACAGTATTCTGGATTTAGCATCTTCTGTTGAGGTCATTCTTACACTTTTTGCATTCAAGTGTATGTCTCCATGAGGTAATTAATTTTGATCATGTATCTTTATTGCTAATAAACACTACTATAGATTATAGAATCCTGATACATTAGTAATAATCATTTTTTTTTAATGTTTTCAACTATTAAACACTACTATAGAAGAAGAGGACCCTGTTGTGTTTATAGGCAACACATAGGTTGCTGAAGTCTTTTTAATTTGACATGAAACCCAGAACCCAGAGGTATGTTTATTCAGCTACTCATCAAAATGGTTCATGTACACCACATGATGATATATTATCAATAAATCAAGATAATAATAATAATATGATAACTTTAGTTACTCCATTAGGCAGCCCTTCATCACCTTCACATATGATGGATTTATTAGACATATTTGGTCCTACCCCTCCACCACCTAGTATGTTTATTTATTTATTATTTTATAATAAATTTTGGTAAAAAAAGTTATTTTTTAAATTCTTCAGTTGCATTTGGAACATGCTAGCAATAACTCTCTTCCTGCAAATGGTAACGACTCAATAACACAAAAATTACGAGTTACCAACATTCAACATGGCAAGGTAACTATAAATAAATCATCATGGAATGAAATGTTTGTGTGTTTTTAAAAAAAAATATCATTTACATGATGAATGTTGATTGTTATGGCAGAAAGCAATCATTATGCGCATACGAATAAGTTACAAGTTGAACAACAAAGACATGTTGGAAGAAAGACAACCCTTGTGAGATATGATAACGTTTTTGGCTTTCTTCTAGTGTTTATATTTGGGACAATGTTATTAAATATTATTTGTATCTTTGTATTCCCATGTTCTTAGGTCTAAATCGTGGATATTTAAATTTGTTGATTTTGGAGGTGAAATGAGACAAGATATATGGTGCTAATAAAGGTAAGACAAGGGCAAAAAATTATTCCATTAATGACATTAATCACTTGCATTTGTGATTGTATTCATTACATATGGATTCAATACTTAGCTAAGTTGACCTAGCATTTTGTTCTTCTAGGTTCACTCAATCAGTTCTTGTTTTTGTTGTAAATTGTAAATTGTAATTCAGGGTACTCTTGGTCCATGTGCATCACTTAAGAAGGTTCATATAGTATTTTAAAGAATGTTGACTCTTTGTTGACTAATTGTTGTTTTTTGTGCAGAAAGGTGCTTTATGTTTTGATGCTAGCATTGGTCAAGGGGGTACTACTACAAGGAAGGTGCTTCATTACACACTTGCTTACAACAATGTACACAAATTAACTAAGAAAATAGCAATGTAGTACTAGGTTATATAGTTAGGGAAAACCTTTTAATAATAATGTACAAATATTTGTCTACTATTTAAATGATTATTTGTATGACAATAAATTTTATGCAATGGATTGTATTTTTTGTATATAGTATTTTATTTTCTATTATGAGACATTAAATGTAAATTTAATTTGAAAATTAGAAAATCTGTAAATAATATTTTTTTTAACATTTAAAATTATGATACGCAAAAATGTGTGTCATCTTCATTTATAACATGACCTTTCTTGACAGGGGATTCCTTGATACGCATTGTGTGTCATAAACACACGCGTCGTAAGGTTACGACACGCAAATGCGTGTCGTCTTTCTTTATGACAGGGCCTTCCTTGATACGTATTGCGTGTCATAACCGTGCGTTGTAAATGCGCATCATAAATACGCATCGTAAATACTTGTCGTAAATACGCGTCCTAAATACGTGTCGTAAATGCGTGTCGAAAATGCGCGTCGTCTCTTTTTATGACAGGGCCTTCCTTGAAGCGCATTTGTGCGTCGTCTGAGCGTTTTACGATGTGCAGTGAGCGTCGTAAAAGGCTGTTTTTCTAGTAATGGCTTGCTCCTTCCGTTAAGCTTCCTTTCTTTTCTTCGATCCTTTAAAACACCAAATGTAGTCTTATCACATTATGTTATTAAGAATCTCTAAATAGGAATTTAATGGAGTTAGATAGTGGATTTTTCATGAAGCAGAGGCATACATCTTGACTCTCCCATCTCTTAGATCTCTCAGGTAGTCAAGTCAGCTTCGTAACCAACGCCCTTTATTTTTGGCAGTAGAAACATATGGATTCTTCTGGAATGGTACACGGGACTATCTTAGACTCAGCCTTTCTCTTGCAAGGAGAAAAATTTTCTAGACTTCCAATGTTGCCATTTCCCATAGAAGGTTGGAATATTGATTTATCAGAAAAAATATGCTCGACCACTGCGCAAAAATCATTTCTGATTCAACAACAATAAGCAAATGAGTCAAATCAATATGGGTCATGTCGTGGTCATCATATACTACTCTCTAACGAACTTACCATATGACTCGGGAAGTCACTGAAAAACCAAGTCAGCAGCCAACTTCCTTGAGACATCGACACCTAACAATCTTGTCAATGTGTGACTTCATCTTTAAGACGTATGTACACACAAACTTTCCATCTTTGTGTCTTATTGCGGATAGGGCTTGAATGACCTTGAACTTTTCAAGTTTTTAAACAAGTGGGTCAAGGAGAATTATTGGAGGATGTAGAGAAATGAAGCATGATTTCCATTTCCACAATCCAATCGTGGAACATCATCTTCATGTGGAAAACCTTTTCCAACGGATTTAGGAAGACCATAGTTGTCAGACTTTGACATCTATGAAATGGGAGAAAATTCAAGTTTAGTTGATTGAGTCCTTAATAAAACACCCAAATGAGACATTAAGGCTAGGATCCAACACAACACCCTACAAATTGGAAGAGGGATGCCATAATCCAACTTGCAGAACATTTGAAGGTAGGTGAATGACGATTCACTAGTTTTCCACCATGAAAAACGAAAAGGAATTTAAGTTTTAAATGTATTGAAAACTCCTAGATCTTTTGAGATTCATTGAACTTTTCAATGGCATGTTTAAATCTCGATATGCCCCTCGATTTGTGACTGGGATGCAGAGGATCACAAAACAAGGTGTGAATAACCATGTAAATATACATGGTGCCCCCAATGTTACAGTCACCTATTCGATGTGCCGGTTAACCACACACGCTCCATTGAACTATGACAACCATCGAGTCACCCTTTTCCACCTTTGCATAGAACCCAATTAGTGTGCCGGTTAACCACACACGCTCCACTAACGTCTTACCAAGGGTACAAAGTGTAATTTCATGGAATTGCATCAATTCACTTTTGCCTAAAGTAACTAAGATTGGGAATTTTTGTAAAACATTTAGCTACTTTATTTTTCATTATACTTTTCATGAGGAGAGGGTTTTCCCTATCCTACCCATTCGGCTAACGACCCTCCACCAATCAAGGAAGCGGTGGGTGGGAGTGGACACCTATTAAACGACCATTTTATAGGTTATAACCTTATACCCCCTTTATAGATCGGCTTCGTGAATGAGGCATACTAACGGTAAGACTAGCATTTAAGTTATACATATATAATATTAGATTTTTAATGTTATACATAGTATAAGGGTGTATTTTACACTTTTAAAATACTAGGTGGTTTTATTTTATAAGTTACACTTTTCATTTAATTAAATATAAACTATATCATTATGGATTTATTAACTCTCTTTTAATTATACACTTAATTAATTTAATAAAACCATAAGGGTGTAATTTGAACTTTTCAAAGTTAGGGTTTTAGAATTTAGACTTTCAAAAATTAAACTTTTAATCAAACAATTTAAATTCCAAAATTTGAGGGCAAGTTTTGAAACTTTTCAAAACAATTAGGTTTTAATTATATTTAAAATTTCCGAAAAATCAAACTTTTTAATTTTTAAAAATTTTAAATATTTAAACATTGATTTATTAATTATTCAAAGTTAAACAATTAATTTGAATTATTAAATCTTGGAGGATATCTATTAAATTAAACAATTAATTTAACCTAATCCCTTAAATCCCCTAAAATTCAAAATTATGGGATGGGATAATTCAAAGTCCTTAATTACCAAATTTAAACACTTAAAAGATAATTAAAAGATATGGCATTATACAAATCCCTAGAATTTAGGATCTAATCTTGGGGAAGGAGACAATTTCGAAATTCAAGGGTTGGATAACCCTAGAATTCAAAATCTTGGAGTCTAAGGAAAGGGTTTGGGAAACCCTAACCAAATTTCGAAATTTAAGGCTTATGAACCCTAAATTTGAAAATCTTGCCTTCAGGGTTTATTGGCTATAAACCCTAATATGTCAAATTCATACTTTTGTATAGAAAACTAATTGAAAACAAAAACCAATGGCTCTGATACCACTGATGGGTATTATACAAACAATCCTTTGTGTGCATGAAACCCTAGAGTTGGATCTATGTTATCACTATTAGTTATATAACATTATGAACTCATAAGGAAACCTAATATGCTTCTAGCAATTTCGAAAATCACAAGGAAGGATGAAATACATACCTCTTGTTGGTATGTTGCAATAACAACTTGTTTCTTGAATCTTCTTGTCTTTAAAAGCAAGTACCACAAGTGTAGTACCTCTAATGGCTCACAACACCAAGATCAAATGGAAAGGCAAGAGAGAGAGAGAGAGAGAGAGAGAGGAGGTATGAAATTCGGCTCTAGGAACCCTAGGGATCAAGTCATGGACGAATTTCATATGCCAAGGGGTGTTTATATAGGTGTAAGGATTAGGGTTTCAGTCCTTATCCTTATCCGGTTGCTTGCCCACCAAGCAGCCCAGATGATAACCCTAGAAACCTTATCATGGACGAATTCAAAGGCCTTATCCCCTTGAATTTGTCCACCCTATACTATAGGGAATCAATTGCCCTACTTTGCAACTATCACATAATTACAATTCAGCCCCCTAGTTTAGTTAACTTCTTTTAATCACAAAATTAATTCTTAATTAATTCTTGACCAATGTTAACTAAGTAAATATCATTTCTCCTTTAATATATTATTCATATAATATATTAATAAACCATAATAACCTCTTTCTCTATTATTTCTCCAGTCAAGTTGCTTTAGTGAAGGCAACCCAAAAGGAACATGCACAACCGGGTCAAGTACTTACCAAATATGGTTACGGGCTTAGACACTAATCCAAAAAATTTTGCGGTTACACTCAATTCATAGAACGATCATAGAACACTCAGCCCATACACTAAAACTCATTTTAAAAATTCCACCTTTATTGTCGTTTGTTGTATGCGAATTATACACAGAACATGATCAAATAGATTGTCAAATAACACACTCTACCCTAGAACCATAACCAACCAAGGAACAGGAAATAAAGCCAAATCAATTATTCTAGGGCTGTAAGATCCTAACCATATACAATTTTAAAGTATACACTTAGTAATTACTGATTCTTTTAGATATTCCCATCTCAGCATAGCATCCAGTACTCCAAAGGCTACAAGGCATCACATATTAGGCCAATCTACCACTAACTAATCAGCACTAGCATGCAAGTCTACCAGCTTATACAATATACATACAAATGCATTTCTCCTAGCATTGTATCATGCAAGAACTAAGAATTTCATTAGCCCTAACTGGCACGCGATTCATAGATTCATAAATTAAGTCCTAACATATAACATGTATGGGTATTCTCGGAAACCTTCAGTTTAACTTCAAATACACCCGAGAGTATGTTTGAATCCCTCAAACCAAGGTTCTGATACCAACTTATAACATCCCGAAAATCATGACATAGAAATGTGTGTTTTTAGATTACTAAATCATTAATGTATATATTTCCCATAAAACCAAGATAACCAACATTTAACAAAACATCATCAAATTAGAGAAATTCACAGAATGTGGAAACATATGGTGTTTGCTTTGCAATCATACTGACCTCTTCCAATTGAAAACTGGAGTACCTAAAATATAAACTGGAAACTGTAAGCACAAAGCTTAGTGAATTTCCCCCAAAATACCACATACACACAACCACATAATATCATGCGACATATACACAGATACCAAACATACATAGTAGGCCCTATCCTAGAGTATATTTCAACCCAAACATAACATACTTGGAATGCCATGGGCTCCCCCATGGTCTTTGCTTGGAATGTCATAGGCTTCCCCATGGTCTGATATCCAATTGTCATGAGCTCCACCATGGTCTTTCATGTAAGCATCATAGAGATAAATAGAATTCAACATAACAACTAGTGGGCTGACATTGGTACCTTCGACCCATATACAAAGTCAGAAAACTCACCTTGACAGTTGAACCCATGAATAATCTCTGACCGTTGATCCACTAGAGTCCTGGC